TGTGTGTGTGGGAGTGTGTGTGTGTGTGTGTGTGTGTTTTAGATGGTTAGAAATAAGAATGCTGTCCTATACTACGAATCCTAATTTCTGACACCGCTTCAGTAAAGCCTGCTGATATTTTGGGGGGTTGTTTAAAATGCGAAAAAAATACGTGTGAATCTTAAAAAGATTCTCAAGCGACATTTGACTCTCAATCACTTTTTCAAATCTAATTGAAGCATTATTTTTAAGAGTGTGGGATTCACTGACTGTGAGCCTCAAGATAGATAGATAAACAGACAGATAGACAGACAGATAGATAGATAAACAGACAGATAGACAGACAGATAGATAGATAAACAGACAGACAAATAGACAGACAGATAGATAGATGGATAGACAGACAGATAGATAGATGGATAGATAGAGCTCTATGAGAGTGTTTTTGTGAGAGGAGTGTTGATCTGAGGGTCACGCACGTGACTGCACACCCGCCGCACTCATTACACCGGGAGCGTGTGCTGTCTGGACCCCGCGAGCACGAGTCACTTAAGATCAGACGAATTTCTAATTTATGCACCTTCAGCTTCTTCTTCTTCTTTAAGCAGTGTGTGTGTGTGTGTGTGTGTGTGTGTTAGAGGCCTGTATGTGGGATATATATATAAACATGTTCAGGGTTTATTCAGTTTCTGTATTAAACATTGCCTTTCATTCGACTATTTTAAAGCAATGTGAGGAATTGTGTTTTTTGTGAAATGTAAAATCTAGAATGGAGTGAGTAATAATGTGTGGCAGAGTGAAGCTCGTGTGTTCAGATGTCAGTCTCGCAGATCACATGTGTTTGTGGTGGATGCCCGTGATTTGCTTTACAGAGTGATCTGTTTGTTCACGAGCTTAGATTCACTCACAACATCGATATGGCGACTTTCTCTCTCTCTCACACACACACACACACACACACACTCTCTCACCCACACACAGATACTCACACACACTCACACACAGTCTCACACACACACACACACACACACTCACACACACACACACTCTCTCACACACTCACACCCACTCACACACTCTCTCTCACACACAGTCACACACACACACACACACACACACTCTCTCACACACACACAGATACTCACACACACTCACACACAGTCTCACACACACACACACACACACACTCACACACACACACACACACTCTCTCACACACTCACACACACTCACACACACTCTCTCACACACACACAGATACTCTCTCACACACTCACACACACTCACACACACTCTCTCACACACACACAGATACTCTCTCACACACTCACACACAGTCACACACTCACACACACTCACACACACTCTCTCACACACACACACACACTCTCTCACACTCTCTCACACACTCACACACAGTCACACACACACAGTCACACACACACACACACACACACACACGTCAATACTTGATAGATCAACGTTTACAATACTAAGTGAATGTAAAAATTATAATAATCCTTACCAATATAGTCCTACTGACAAAATATACAATTAAAATTTATAATAATAATAACAACAATAACTATTAATATTCTACTATAAACAAAAACAATTTATAATATATAACAACAACAACAGTAATTATTATTATAATTTATTAGAGGTGTATGTGTGTGTGTGTGTGTGTGTGTGTAATATATATGACTTCGTGATAATGATGTGTTTGTGTGTTGCTGTAGGTTTGGGGGAGGTTTGGGGTCGAAGCCGATCTTTAGAAAACACAAACCTTGAGCTCGGATCTCATTTACTGCAGGTAATAATCAGCAAGACGCTCCAGGTAATATGAAGACTTTATTATTATTATTATTGACATTCAGAAATATGGCAGGACATTCTGTACAGTGAAGCTAATGTTTCATTTCCATGCAAATGCATTAGAAGCCAGTTTGCTGCTTTTTTGATGTTATTTGAACATGATTAATGAAGCTTCTTTCCAGATTTTCCTGGCTTTCGCTGTTTTCTGTCGTGATCTGTCTGATGTTCTCTGATCTGCAGACGTTAGACGGCTTTATATTCGTGGTGGCTGCCGACGGGAAGATCATGTACATCTCAGAGACGGCGTCGGTTCATCTGGGCCTTTCACAGGTGAAGCACTGACTAACAGCTGATGTGTTTGTGCTCGTGTTCCTCCAGCGCAATCACACACGTGCTTTCACACAGGTAGAACTGACCGGGAACAGTATTTATGAGTACGTTCATCCGGCCGATCACGACGAGATGACCGCGGTTCTGACACCTCAGCCCTCGTATCACTCGCACCTCATCCACGGTGAGCCGTTACACACACTCAACACTGAACACGTGTCCGTGCACTGCATTATCAGAGGAATTCTCATGCATTTCTGATGGAGACTGAAAAAAAAAGATTTTTACTAGTTGTAAAATTTAGAAAAAGGGTCAGAAAGGTTGGAACAATAAAACATTAACAATAAGACAACTAAACCTAATTATGACAGTT